GGGTATGAGGTGTGTGTTTGATTGTCGGTGGTGGTGGATAGAGGGTTGGGGTGGGGGTTTGCTGTATCCCACAAAATGGTTGCATGAGGCGACTTATGTGGGCCCTGTTTATTTTGTGCCCTGTAAGTGGGAACGACTAAAAGATCAAAACCGATCTGCTGAACTCATTTCAATTCAGTTGACATTTTCATTTTTTTTCAGTTTCTCACATAGTTGAACGCTTTCCGTCATGAACGCTGTCTATAACCATAGTTGTCAGATTGATTTGACCAGTTTAGGTGTCATTACTACTGTCCAATTCCACTTGTAAAGTAACCTTTGAGAAACATACTGTACCGCCTACTCTGACAATACTTTCGTCCTATGACCTTAGCCTTTGCCAAAGACGCCATACCCAATTCCGTCTTTGCGTATGGCAGAGTTATCTTCTCTTTGGAGCAGATATTGATTGTTACGTCACTTGTTTGTGAGAGAAACGTCATCAATTTTTGAGAAAACGACGTAATTTTCTCACACGTAACAATCAATACCTGCTCCCAAGAGAAGATAACTCTGCAATACGCAAAGACGGAATACATGTAACAATATCATTCTGTCAGTAAAAGTTTGTTATACTGCCAACATGTGTCTAAAGAAAGTACCGGCGTTATAAATGGTTTTAAATCTAGACAGATGTTTAAAGGAATTTTGAAGAAAAACATTGGACCTTCACATGAATTGGCGGTAAGGGAGGTGGCGATATGGAAGAAATTGCATCATATCGAGACTATACTGTACAGTAAAGCGTCGTTATACTGACACCATTTGTCAAGGGAAATGTTGGAGTTATCAAACAGTTTGGCGACAAATTGAAGGAAATCTATAAAGGAATTCTTAAGAAAAAGGGACAATATATAAATATTACATTCATTAGCAGGTGACAATGGGTTTTTGAGGGTTGAAAATATTCACTGTCACCTGCTAATGAATGGAATATCTATTTTGTTACACCAAATGTCAATGTAGCTCAGAAACGGCCGCAAACCTCGATAATGACATCTTGTTTGTTGATAGTCTGCTGTTTACAATCGCTATCGCACCGGCGCCTGATGAAATTGGCTTTTGCCGTCAAACGTTCTTGTGACCATCACGGTGGGGAAACGAAGCGGTGCACGCACATTTTTTGCGCATGTGATATTTGTCACTGGCTTATGGCAATATCACCCGCGCCCCTTAAAACCAATGGATTTTCGGAGGGTGACAGAGATTTTGGTTTAATTTTCTCCCAACCAATCAAATAGCTAGAAATTCACTTGAGGTGTAACAATGATATATGTTACAATTTGTAGCAGAAAACGAGGTGGCAACTAAAACGTTGGGAATTATATCGAGGTTTTACTATACTTAGATTACCAACAAGGGACATAAATTGAGGTCATTTTTAAACGGTGAAATGCTTGCTAGTCACTATTTCATTAGTCAATCCAACTATATACATACATATCCAATCATAACGGCAATACCCTGCATGATCCCCAATGTTTTAACTCTTCGTGCGCCACTTCTGGTGACATTCCTGTTGACTCGTAAAGGAAATTGTTCCATTGATTAGTTTTCTTCTCATCCCAATAACATCACACAGCCGTAAACAGATCACAAAGTCCTAATTGCGTGGTATTTGGCAAAAAATATTGTCTGACCGAGGCTTTCACAGTCACTTGAGACATCGAAAAGTTCCAGTGGAGATGGCCACGGCCGCAGGTGTTTTTATCGATTGGTCCCAGCATCCATAAAAATGTCTCGGGCTTGAGCAAGGCTACTACTCGTATTCCGCTTTCGCCGTCGTCATGGGCAACAATGCATGGTTTATGGCTTTTCTTCTCACTTGACGGCGTTACTTTTATCAATTTGTTTCTAAAGAATATCGGGCTTGAGCAAGGCTACTGCTAAAACTAGTTCTGAAGGATCCCTGTACCACTGTTCAAATCTGTAACTTAGTG